CAAGGTATGTTTTTTTCAGAAATCATTAATAAAATCTACTGTCATGCCAATGTTTAAGTTTCCAATTCTATAACCACAGGTGTTGGCAGTGACACAGGGATCTTTCTAGGAATAAATCTGTTGGGTCAAAGTTGTTGAGATTTTTCATGTGAACATTATTTTCCTGAAGTTAGTAAAATTCAATCCAGGCAAAATTTATGATAATACCTGTATGCACACTCTCCTTACGGAGGGGGGAAAAGGGGGAGAGAATCTCTTTAGCAAAATCTGAAAATGTCTATAAAGAACTTTAAACGGCTTCTATTTGACTAGATAATTAAAAAAAAATTTGATTTGAGCAAAAAGCAAATTTATAGGGAATTTCGCTGATTTCAGAAGTCAAAAAATGAGGGTGAAAGATCAGAAGAGAAGACTTGGCATGTATGATCTATGATTTTACATTGAAAATTAAATATGTATGGCATACTCTTTTATTGATGAGTTTTAATTTTCTGTTATAAATGAAAAAATAAATCACAAGGTGGTTTTATCCCAGTGCATTGTACTCTAAAAGTACATTGCTCATTTCACAATTGATAAAAAAACATTGATACACAGAAATAAATTTTGCTACAATGGTCGTTAATTTTTTTTTTTTTAATTCCAATGTGTGCATGAATTAGTTCTTAATTTATGGACATTTTCAATCCTTAAATGATAAAGAAACCATCAATTTGATTAAGTTTATAGTCTTTAAGAATCTCAAACAGCATTCCGATGCATTGTTGAATGAAATGAGGTTTCAACCAGATGTCTTCTTTTCAAATATGTTCTGTTGTTCCTGGAGTCAAAACGTTCCTTTGGGTATCGGCTACCGGTGGTCAGACAGGGTTTGTTACTGGATTCCAGTCTGCCCTTTATCTGTCATCAGTTGTCTCTACTCCCTAAAACCCTTTTCTTGCTTTGTCTGTCCCCAGTACCCGTGACCCTACTTTGTCCCCTTAAACAGATCAAATCACCCCACAATGGTCACCCCAGTCAAATAGCATTCAAGTCGAGTCACCAGTCTGTCAACAAATACAGCAGGTTTTCCTGGTTAGTTTCAAATCCTAAAATCTTCATTTATTGAAATTTATCTTTTACCTATATGTGCCAATCAATGTATGTGTAATAGAAATTAAAATTTAAAGTTATTCAAAGTCTGGTGATACACTTTTATGTGAAGATACCAAACAATCGTTGTTTGATTTTCTATAAGACTCTTAATACTTGTATACCAAGACTAATATTTGTAATTGTCCCTTTATGATAAGATTTAAAAGAATTATCGTCAAGTAAAGTACAAACAAGGGATTTTATGAAAAATCAAAAATGGTTTTATTCTAAGAAGATCAAATTTTTATATTCCGTCTTATTCCAGGAAGTTGGATATGAAATGAATGCACTTTTACTTTTGATATGAAAATGAATGGAAAAGCAAAGTAAGGAAAAAAACGGTGGACTGCTAATCTAACTAGGCGCTTTGTTGAAGGGGTTTAGCCGGCCCCTTATCAGGCTCACTGACTCCGGGTGTACCTGTGTGTGTACCCTTGGTCTGGTAAACGAGAGGCCACGCTATAATAATCCACAATGCACCACAAGTGTCAGTGTCAATAGGATTTCCGTGACAACAGGGGAAGGCTACCCTTCTCCGAACCGTGGGCGACCCCAGAACCCCAGAACCCCAGTCAATCTGATTGGTCGATCAATTATGCACAAAATAGGGTCAGATTTTGTTCAGATTTAAAATTCTGACATAGCAACAAATAATTTTTGTATACGACACTCTACACTTTTGATTAAGATCTTCAGAGGCGAGTCGGGATATTTAAATCTCTACGTCAATACAAGTTGAACTTGAGTTACACAATTATTTGACATATAAATTGTCAAGGTAACTCATAAACGTAGAGTGCTTTATATCTGTTTAAATAGTTTCTCTCAAATTTTTGTGGGGTATATTGACTTACAAGCCCTTCTATGGTTTTAAATAACATGTATCATGTAACTGTATTTATGTGATCAGTTTCAAAATTTAAACGGCAATCTAGCGGTTCTGCTTTACATTCGTAACACAGATAAGACACATTTTGTGAGAGAGAAAAAATGTTGGTTCCGTGCATCAGGAATGTTTCCTACAAATAAAAATTTACATTAAAATAGAACAGATATAAACAAGAAATCCTATTGAGGTTGTGTATGGTGTCTGTGTTGGCCTTGTCTGCAAATAGAAATTGACAATAATTATAATATATCCTTCAAAAGTTTGAAGGTCTTAGGAGCAATATGATGTCAACAAAATATTCCAGTCAACCTGTGAATTATTTCATATGGGTCAGTGTGTCTGTCAATGTTAGGTGCAAGAATGACAAATCAAATTGTTGGCAAGGAGCATTGTAGACTTGCAGTAGTCCCACTGTTTTGTCCTATAATATTTGAATTTCTTTCTGTACTTGTAAATGTGTTTTTGTTGTTACATATTCACTATAGTATGTATGTCTTTAAATTCCTGTCACTTTTTGCCAATGATAAGCCCATGCCTGGTGTTAAGCCCATCCATTTTTCAGACGATCGTTCTATAGCATATTGTAGAGTAGACTCGTAACGTACAACTTCTTTAACTCAATCACCCCTGAAATTTCATGATGAACTATTCCAACATTTGAATTGGAAGAGTTCAATTGTGTCTTCAGGGGTGAATGAGTTAATTGGTTCAATATATTGAGAATTACCAAACAAATCACACTTTTCATGATCGGTTTTTCACATAAATGATTCTAACTCTTGAACAGCTTTCAGTTGGCATTCATAGTCAATATGAATGCCAACTGAAATATGACAAATGCCTTGAAGTAGCTACTATAATCATTTCGTATTAAACTTGTCAAGTTCCAGTAAATGTGTAATAGGAGAAAGAGAACTCTAGATGGACACTGTACCGATTGAGCTACCTGGTCACCGAAAATCGACCTAGTCAAGTTCCGCTACACATATACAGTAGAATTCAATATGACTGATCACAGCAGACTATATCTTGCTGGCCTTTCCGATATTTCATCAGAAAAAAACCAGTGTGACACAATAAAACAAATGTCTAAAACATACTTAAAATGGCTGCTATTTGTCATAATAGTTATGAGATGGTTGAAGCTGTTCTATGCAATGCTTTTATTGCATTAGAACAAGAGAATTCAGCTTATATTTCCAAAGACAAAAAATCCAGGGTGAAAAGTCAGACGTCTCCTTTCCTAAATACAAAGGCTTGGCAAGTGTTAGTATCACTCATAGCGGCAAAGCTTATTTTTCTCTTTCGTTTAAGTTACTTTGGGACAATAATAAACAAATATTGTATGGACAGAAAATAACTTTGATGTCAGTATGTTCTTTTCAACACGAGAATTGTTTTTGGTGAAAACAGGTTTTTTCCCTAGTGATATGGCAAACAATTACTACAGCACAGTGCTCACGATCATTGAACAAGGTGTGTCTGTGGCCAGGTAGACTCAGGTGTACATTTTACAGGTGGCTAGGTAACATATCTAATACCAGAGTTTGTCACTCCCAGGGAAACCTTCCACTCTTACAGGTAGCTCCTCAAGTACCTGGCCGGGTACTGTCCAGATACCTGGGCAGCAGAGTACACCTGGGGATGGTTGACACAGGTAAAACAACCTGACCCAGCGTCAGTGTCGGAATTCGTGTTTACCCCTTTTATAAAGTACTGTTATAATCCACCCTTTGTCCCCGTGGAAACCAGCTGATGAAGTATATGGAAAGGACACGGGGCCCTCTTAAAGGGAAATTTTAAATGAAATTTAAAAATTCAACAGAGAAATGATGTATATATTGATATAAGGACTTAATGCATCAATGATAAGTAGATTATTATGTTGATTTTTGAAAATATATTTTGTGATGTAAATGTGGTTTGAAACTTGATTTTACAAAAATAATTTCCATGGTAATTTGAATGTTATCCTGTAGAATAGCCTCATTTACAGGTAAAACTGTCTCACTGAAATAAATTCAAAATCCATCTGTGTTGATAAAGGAGAGCACTACATGCTAGTGAATAGGGCCAGAACGGTATTATACACCAAGTATCCTGCTGGTTATCTTTACACCACCCAAACACATCTTATCAGATTTGATTTTCTTAAATTACTTAGATTCAAAAATATTGCTGATATATCAGTAAAGGCATGATGTCACTGATACTTCACATTCTCATTCTAAAGTTAACTTATCTTTACCTTCTGTTTTTGTAGAGAAAAACAAATATTATTGAAAGTTATTATTCTCAGTTAACCAGACTTTGAATTTTGTATTTTTCTAAGGCTCACATCATTGGTTATAAAGCATACAGCCATTTCAATGACACCAGAGACATTTAAAATGTGACTAAAATGAAAATAAACACTAATTTCAACCAAAATAGGTTTTCTTGTATCACTGCAAGACAATATTTGGGTTACCGAATTTTCACACACAAAGAAAGTTCAGGAACCGCTTTCAACTCTGTGACCCCTGTTGGAATTGTAAATCCCCTAGTCCACCGAAGAAGCAATATATCATGCTTCAAATTTATAACAGATGGAAAAAAATTCAGTGGCCTTGTGAAATTGAAAATGGATCAAATACATGTTATTTTAAGGGGAGACTACTTGTTAATTATATTGAATTAATATTCCATCAATGTTGATTTTGTACACACTTTTGAGATCGAGTATTTAATTTTTATGGTGTATTTTGTCTTTCATAAACTATCGTGGAGAGAAATTTAAAGTTATGTAGCTCTCTGTGTACTGCTGAATGGTGATACTTTTGAAAGATACACTTTGGAAAATAAGAACAGCCAGAATTTTAGAGGGAACGTGAGTATCAGGAGATATTGAGTGAAAAGTCTTTTGAACCAATGATAATTTATCAAGAGTAGATAATTCTAGTTTATTTTATTTTTCAATTCTCATTTCTTTTTTCAGGAGACTTCTCACGATCGCTGATGGATTGATACGAAGTGGAGTGAACTGCGGGCTATAAAGGGCAACAACTCTAGGTATTACAAGAAAGTTAAAAATTGCTTCTCTGTAAATCTTCCCAGCACTTTTGAAAGCTGAAAACTTGTTTCAATTTGTAAAATAGGTTGAATATAAAACTGCTTTGAATCAAATTCCAAATAGTTGTAAGTGTTTTAGGATGCCTGTAGTACTTTTCTTCTTATATAATATTTTCTATGTTAGATTGAAGAAACATTGTTACAAAAGCTAGCTACAAAGGAAAATATGTTCAATGCAATTAAATGTTCCAAATAACCATTATTGTGTCCTTTTGAATCTAAAAAAATTAACCTGCGAACATTTTTGAAATTTACATTGAAAATATAAAAAAGAAAATTCAAACCTATTTAACGTGGATATGTGTGTGAAAGACTTTCTAGTGCTATCTCCTTATGCGCCGTGTGAAATAAGTATAAGACAAATACAATTAAGATGAAAAAGAGGAGGAGAAAGGAAAAGATGCAAATTTGAAATAGTGAAAGGAATGGAGGCAGAACTGGTCTGGTTGGATTGCCAGCGGTGAGGTAGCTCAGTCGCTTAGAATGTCAAATTTGGAGTCACTGGGTTTCAATTCCAGTCTGGCAGTGATTTTTCGTGCTCTGTTATCTATTTTATTATAGATGATTATTTGGTGTTGATTATCATATCATACATTTATGTTGTGGTGATAGAAACTCGTTTTAGTATGTCTCCAAATAATCATCACAGAATAAAACACACTGATGCAACATGTTCAGCTCAGGGAGATGTTGATGTATCTTGACCAGACCAATTAGGGAGGTAAGGTTCACTGACCAACAGATCAAATTATCAGATAAATCAAGATCAATCAGGTGTTTACTGTAAGACTGTATGTCTCTGTTTACTATAGATAATCCCAAGGGTCCATTTACAGAGAATTTGTACACAGACTTCCACAGAATTAATCAGTTACACTTCTCAGCAATTAATGTGCCTGCTTCATGGAAACCTACATCTAAAGTATTGACAGCTTACGGACAAATTAAATATCAAACATCAAACCAGGATATTTTTATATAAGATTTCAAAATAAGTAACAAAATATGCTTATGTTTAGTGTCAAACCTATATAATTAAGCAGTTGATTTAATTATTTTAAATTTCTTCAAAAGTCCAAATGAAGATGTCATATTTAATGTTTTCGATTATTTCATTGTTCATCTAACAAGACTTTGAAAAGTTGAGGTCTGATCAATCAATCATGGAGTTAATGAGGTCTTGCTCTTTAATGATGTTTACCAAAGCAGATTTGATAATCAAATGCAGTCGAACATGTTCAGGGTAGTAGGGCTGCAATATAAATATTTTTAAGGACAAAATCTAAAAAAAAACTGCTGACTGTTAAACCAGACTTGTTGTGTCAGTAATTGTGCTTTGCTTTCTAGAAAATATTTCATTATGATAATTATAAGTAAAGTAAAACTTTGTTATACTGCCATCATCATTCATTTGTCAAGCATAATTGTGGCATTATAAAGAGGATTGGCAATACATCAAGGAAGATGGGTAAAGAAATTGTCAAAAAAGATACATGAGACCTTGAAATATGTTGGCAGTAAGTTAGGGGGGAAAAAGGAACCGAGACGTTAGATTGAGGTTTATCTCAAAGTTTTATTGTGTATAAAAGAGGGGCATTATATCAAGGTTTTACCATTTTTATGAACAAGGGGCGTTATATCAAGGTTTAACCATTTTTATGAACAAGGGGCGTTATATCAAGGTTTTACCATTTTTAGGTCACCTGAGCTTTAGCTCAAGTGACCTATTGCTATCCGTTTTCGTCCGTCGTCGTCCGTCGTCCGTTAACATTTTACATTTCAAACTTAAAGTCAAGTTCTGCTGGGCCGATTGAACTGAAAGTTAGTAGGAATGATCGCCTCATGGTCCTGACAAAGTGTTGTTATTTTTTGGGTCGATCAGAAATCCAATATGGCCGCCACGGCCGCCATTTTGAAAACCTATTTCAAACTTAAAGTCAAGTTCTGCTGGACCGATTGAACTTAAAGTTTGTAGGAATGATCGACTCATGGTCCTGACAAAGTGTTGTTATTTTTCAGGTCAATCATAAATCCAATATGGCCGCCACGGCCACCATTTTGAAAACATATTTCAAACTTAAAGTCAAGTTCTGCTAGGCCGATTGAACTGAAACTTTGTAGGAATGATTGACTCATGGTCCTGACAAAGTGTTGTTATTTTTCGGGTCGATCAGAAATCCAATATGGCCACCACGGCTGCCATTTTGGAAAACTATTTCAAACTTAAAGTAAAGATCTACTTGGCCGATTGAACTGAAACTTTGTAGGAATGATCGAATCATGGTCCTGACAAAGTGTTGTTATTTTTCGGGTCAATCAGAAATACAATTTGGCTGCCATGGCCGCTATTTTGCTACTAAGTTCTAATAGGCCGATCTCACTTAAAATTGGTCTAGGAATGATCAGCTCATGGTCCTGACAAAGTTAAGTTAACATTATACTATTTTTTACTCAAATTGGTACATATTTCAACAACAAAAATAAATACTATAGACTCAGGTGACCGTTAAGGCCCATGGGCCTCTTGTTATGAACAAGGGGCATTATATCAAGGTTTTACCATATTTATGAAATAGGGCATTATATCAAGGTTTTACCATATTTATGAACAAGGGGCATTATATCAAGGTTTTACCATATTTATGAACAAGGGCATTATATCAAGGTTTTACCATTTTTATGAACAAGGGGCATTATATCAAGGTTTTACCATTTTTATGAACACGGGGCATTATATCAAGGTTTTATCATATTTATGAACAAGGGGCATTATATCAAGGTTTTACCATATTTATGAACAAGGGCATTATATCAAGGTTTTACCATATTTATGAACAAGGGCCATTATATCAAGGTTTTACCATTTTTATGAACAAGGGGCATTATATCAAGGTTTTACCATTTTTATGAACACGGGGCATTATATCAAGGTTTTATCATATTTATGAACAAGGGGCATTATATCAAGGTTTTACCATATTTATGAACAAGGGCATTATATCAAGGTTTTACCATATTTATGAACAAGGGGATTATATCAAGGTTTTACCATATTTATGAACAAGGGCTTTATATTAAGGTTTTACCATATTGATGAACAAGGGGCATTATATCAAGGTTTTACCATATTGATGAACAAGGGGCGTTATATTAAGGTTTTACTATATTTATAAACAAGGGGCATTATATCAAGGTTGTATTGAACAGAAATGAGGAGCATTATATAAAGATGTTATTGTACATGGATATAAGTGAGGGGCATCATGCCATAGTATTCCTGTTTTCGTTATTACGCCTGTTTTCAATGGAATGATGGTAGGAGAATGCATGGATTAGTCGTAGGTTGTTTTGGCAATAATAATGAACAAGGCGCAACTTACAACTAATCCATGGCATTAAAATAAGACGAAGAAACAGTGAATGTATGTGTCTTCATTTCTGACAATATAGCAATGGTTTTCTTCTTTTTATAATAAGCTTAAATAGAAACTTTTTTGTTCCTAGATGGTCTCTGACCTCAAACCTCATTTCATTTCAAGCATGTTCTGTTTTAAGTTAAAATTAGAATAATTAATGATAATTAAAATTCTGGGAAATGAATGAAAGACAGAAACGTGTAGCAGTATACACATTGCTCCTTACATGAAGATCAAGTAATCAGTTGGAATTAAGTTTCTACATACATTAAGGGTTTAGGAGCCAGGGGCTATTGACTCTGTTTAAGGGGCCAGCTGGCTGCCATTTGTCTAGGGTGACAGTAGGAAATGGGACTGTCTTTTGGGGTTAGATATCAGTAGACTAGCCAGGATAGTTATGTTGGATTACTTCCTGTGCTAGATGACAGGAAGTTTGGGATAGGTAACCAACAGTTGTTCTCTCAAATTGTCTGTGTACTTGTTTACTTAATGGTGGACAAATAGTATTTAAACTTTGGAATTTATTTTGAAATGTTTCTTTCAGTGACCTGACTGAAATTTCCTTCCTTTCCTTCTTTTTTTTTGTGTTATTTAGGTTGAAATGCTTTTTGTGCACTAAGTCTGAAGTGGGTTTTTTTTATAAATAATCAAATGCGACATCTATAATTGCTAACCATTGATAAATTTCCCCAAGGTAGAAACTGAAAAAAAAATCATTTAAATATCTAAAAAATACTTACAATGAACACTTCTTAAAAGCATTAATATCATAAAATGCCATAGTTTTCTCTGCTAAAAAATTTAATTTGCACTAAAATCAAGAGGAAGGAATTCAGCTGATTTCTATAGTCGAATATGAAGGTGAAACTATGAGTTTTCCTCCAAGATGCATCTTTTTAAATTAAAAGTTGTCCTGTAAAAAGTCTTATACTATGTACTCCCAATTATTGGTATGACACGAGCCTATCATAAATTTACTTCCTAATATGCTTGTCCTATTTGTACAGCTTGGTAGACTTAAACAGAACTCATTTTTGATTATGTTTATAGCTCTCATTCAGAAGCACAACATACCCCATAATTTATGTACAGAAAAGGCAGGTTTATTCCAGAATGTGAAGGAATAATTATGATACTAACCCAGTGAAGATAAGCCTGAACCATTGTGCCATGAGATCATGTTACAGGATATGAAATAGTATAGGGGTAGTAGGAATCTGAAGTACACACTGTAAACCTATACCAGTGTACACTCCAGGTAGATATACCTACTTCAGTCTAGAGACACAGACTACTGTATGGAGCCTTACTGATATGGAGCGTTGTATAACACAAGATGCTGATGTGTGTTACCTCAGAGGAAGTTACTGTATAGGAGTAGCAATCATTGGTATACATCTTCATTATCTTTTTTACATAATCTGTTATTCTTATCAAGAGGCCCATCATGAGATGATTAATTAGACCAGCATCTGTAGCCCTGGACCAGCTAGGGGGCCATATGATGAAGCAGGCTGGATCCCT